AAAAAAAAAAAAAAAAAAAAAAAAACTAACTTGATGTTTATGTTGCATTTTCAAAAGAACAAATTCCTAAAGCACTCAAGCCACAATATAATTAACATTAATGATTAATTTCTAAACCAATCAAGATAAAACTCACAAATGAGAAATACAGAGTTTCTCACCATGTCAAATCTTACGCAGATAGTTCTTCTACTGGTGAGAGACGCAAAGACCACTGTTTGCAGAAACAAATATAATTATCTGCAAATGCCCGACTGCTATGATCAAATCACAATTCATCCACAGTAGATCGACGTGTTTAATATTAAAATGATTAAAGAACTACACGACCAAGAAAATAAGTCAACCATTGTTTAACATTAAAATGATTAAAGAATTACACGACCAAGAAAATAAGTCAACCATTTCACAATTTCATACTTCTGCAACTGAACCATTGCTCGAATATGGGTGGTCTAGTCCTAGGTCATGGTCGATTCAAGATCATACATTTCCATATGCATTCAAATACGATGGCAATCTAGCAGTTAATTAAGTGATGATTCAATGCATAAAGAATACACAAACATTTATTATGACACCACGAGGGTAAAATAAAACAAGGAAATAATATTATTTGTGTAACTAATAATTTATCTGATTCAATTTCTATTTATATGGTGCTGTTTAGCCATAATTCTACCAAGCTTTGCCCATTTATACATTATAAATTTATTACTGTCTACAAGTTTTAATCACTTATTATCTATATTTTTCCTCAATAGAAATACTAATCAACTGAAACGTAAAACCCAACTCACCGTTGCACTACAAATTTCAAAAGAACACTTTTCAATTACCTTTTACTAAATTACTAGTTAAATAGAGTGTTATGCTATGAGCCTCAAGATTCTTAATTAACTTACTTCCGAAGTAACGCCCAACAAACCATTAACAGGTTTTAATGAGAATACTATACACGTCAATGGCATCTTCTGGAGCTATTGGTGTCTTATCATTATTAGTTGAGGGACCAACTCTGCGAGAGAGGATTGTGGCCGAGCAACCAAAAGATAGATTCATGTGCCATACGAGAGAGCTTTCTCAAACCGGCAAGGTGAGACTAGGGCTGAGCATGGGACTCGGAGAATTCCGAACCGTTTAGAAAGCGAACTGAAATTACTCCAAACCGAGAAATAACTGACCTTTTGACTTTCTCCAAACCGAACCGAACTTAAAAAATAATTGGTACGGTTCTGGAGATTTCACAAATATCTGTACGTACCGAACCGAAGAACCGAAATTAAGAACCGAATTATAACATTAGATGTGTGTTGTTAATATAATTATGTCAACTTTGATCCAATATAATTTGAGAATTTTTTAAATGCAAATAAATATAGTAATAACAATTAAGATCACTTAAATTTCATGTTCGGTAATACTTGATCTACAATTGAATTTTTACTTTTATAAAAAAATTATTTAACATAGTATGAAAGGTTAAATAATATTTTTTTTAAAATAAACAATATTATATTTTGTTTGAATTTCAAATTTTAAATATTAGTTGTACAGATTTAGTCTTAACGATTAGAGTTACTTTAAAAGTTCATTTCAAAATAAAATCTTTAATATGAGGAAGTACTGATGAATGTTGGTTTTTTTAAATCATATAAAAAATAAATGACTAAAATTTAGAATTACTATTAAAGTTGATTTCAAAATAAAATCTTCACTATTGATGAATGTTGGTTTTTTTTAAAGCATATAAAAATTAAAATATAACTAAATAGTCATTCATAGAAATTTAAAAAAAAAATAAGAAATCTCCGAAGATCCAAACCGAGCCATTCCGATAGTCTTGAATACCAAACCGAAAACTAAAAATCTCCGAACCGAACTGTCCTGATTTTTTGGTACCGTTCAGGGATCGAATTTAGTAATCTCTGAATTTTGGTACGGTTCCAAAAATTTCTCAATCTCTGAACCGTACCGACCCATGCTCACTCCTAGGTGGGAGGCTTCGCAGTAGCATCAGATGGGGCCTTAGTCTTTGAGCAGCGACTTTGTGTTCCGAAGGTTCTAGCACTACGAAAGAAGATTCTAAATGAGGCACATAGAGTGTCGTACTCCGCCAATTCTCGGAGTACGAAGATGTACCAAGACCTGAAGAAGAGGTCTTTTTTGGAGAGGTTTGAAGCAAGATGTGGCGAGATTTGTAGACCAGCGTTTAGTGTGCGAGTAGGTCAAGGCCGAACATCATAAGTCATCGAGCTTGCTTCATCCACTCAATATCCCGGAGTGGAATGGGAGCATATTTACGATGGACTTTGGACTTTGTAGTGGGCAGGTCGAGGAAGGGGAACGATGTCATTTGGGTGATAGTGGATCGTTTGACCAAGACAGCACACTTTCTGCACAATGAAGATGGAGTAGTACGCCCGACTCTATATAGAGTATAGACGACATAGTCCGACTTCATGGAGTGCCTGTGCCGATCGTATCAGACCGAGACGCACGGTTCACTTCTAGATTTTGAGCTAGTCTCCAAAATGCTATGAGAACGAGGTTGAAGTTTAGCACTGCTTATCACAGTCAGACGGATGATCAGTCAGAGCAGACCGAACAGCTATCAAGTTCACATTGTGATCGGCACACAGAGATTTGACCAGTTTTACGTAATCCGGCTGGTCACAATCCTCAGCCAATACACAGAGCCAGAGCTGAGCAACATGCTTCTCGATTATTTTAGCACTCTCATGAAGGCCACGAATAAGACCTCCATAAGCCAACTACTTTTTCAGCACAAGTTGCAAGACCCTCATTATATCCATAGGCTCACCGAGTACGTGGAGCTGGAGCAGGTCTCTCCACAACAACAGGCTCTTCATTGAGAAGTGATGTAATGTAAAACGTTGTGTGGGCTCAATTTTTTACGCTCTTTTACTCTCATCAGAAAAGCTTTCAAGATTTTAATGGGCAGTTCATATTTTTATTTCTTGGAATTGGAATTCAATTTGCAGGAGACCACAAAATTCAATGGGATGAAAACATATGAACAGAACATGTGGAAGTACAATACAATACAATACATATAGCGTTAAGGAAGTTTAGAATTTCATACCCCGACATTATGACTTCACCAGATATTCGTTGATGGACTGTAATAAACTGTGAAAGATCAAATGCGATAGAGAATGTGAACAACGTTAAAAAGATGCAGCTTTATTAAAATAAAGATAATTCCTATTCATAATAAGATCTGAATTCCAGAGAAGATGCCCATAAATATTCAGCAAATGTAGGAGTTATTACAGTTAGAAAAGCAAGCGAGCGAACCTTGGAGCTTAGAGAGATTGTGCAACAGATCTGGAGATAAATGGAGACTCTGCACAAGAATGGACCAATTTTTATCTACACTACACACGAACAACTCGCAAGCCCTAGTGCGAACTTATTGAGCTTTACCAATCGATTGTAAAATACTACAAGTACATAATATAATATAAATGTATGTATATAACACTCACATGGACGGGGTCCATTTGATTTTTTATTTTAGTGGATCTCACTAGATGTGAGTGTTATGCACATTCCTATGTATTTATAGCATTTCTCAAATAAATTAAACATATATTAGTATATTTGTTAAATAAGTTATGTGTAAGACTTTTTAAATCTCAAATACATTGGTTACATTGGACTTTTAAAAGTCTAAATTAAATATACAAAGAATTTTAAAAGGTTTTTAGAAATTGCAAACAATGCAATCCGAGTGGTATCACTCGAGGACTCTACCTAGACATGGTCAAGGGCCGCCCGGCCTGCCGACCCGGCACGGACTCGGCCTGGTCAAACCCGTTGACCACGGGTCTGGGCCCGGACCCAAATTTCAAAGGGTTGTGTCAGGGTCATCCATTTCATGACCCGGCCGGATCGATGAAACCGCTATTTTATTTTATTTTATATTCTTTTCTATTTTTTTTTTCAAAATGACGGACCCGGCCCGGTCAACCGGGCCATTGACCCGGCACGAGTATAGGTCCGTGCCGGGTCCAGGTCATTGTTTTCGAGTCGGCGACCCGACCCAGATTTTGGCCATGTCTAACTCTACCAATATACTTAGACGGCTTTACATCAAAAAATTTCCCTTTTCATTCTATAAGGATGAGTGATCATCAGACGAAAAATGTGTTTCGTAAACAGCATTAACTAGTTTATAACTTATTTGATTAGCTTATATATTTTTTTGTATATAATAAACTTGGTTTAGTAGGGCAAGGATTTCTAAAACACTGAGTTTATCTCATAAGTTTATTTGGCTATTTTTTTGAATAACCCTGTTGAAATTCTTATTTCACTGGCACTTTTATCACATTAGCTAGTTTTTCAGTTACAAGTCATGGCTTATTGGCTAGTTTTACCTTTGGGTATCTTTTCGACAAACCCCGCTAAAATTTTTTATTTCACTGGCTTATCAACTAGTTTTACCAAATACTTTTATCACAATAGCTAATTTTCCAATCACAAGTCATAGCTTATCGACTAGTTTTACCAAACACTTTTATCAAATTAGCCAATTTTTCAATCACAAGCCATAACTTATCAATTTTAAGCTCAACATTCACTAATAAAGTATCAGCTATCAATTAATTTATCAACTAGTTTTACGGAAGATAATGGGTTTATCTTCTCATTCCAAATGATTTTCATAAAATGTTTGTATGATGGTTTTGATCATCACTTAGCCATACCATTGATTGTGTTCATAATTTCATATCATAACTGACACCAACTTTACCCCCACATTACCAAACTCTGTAACCTGTTCAAATTGGATGAGATATACGACTAAGGAAACTCAAGAGTAACTACTGTTTTGTTTACGTGTCTAAATAAAATAGATGGATTCATATGAGGTACAATTACGAGGCATATAATATATTCCACTTAAACGCCACGTTTGTCAGTATTCATATGCTGTTGGTTCATTTGCACATATACACAACTTTTCACTACATTGATCCGTGCTGCACGTTTTTCCACGGGCTGGCAATTCTTTCCGAATGAGAAGTATATCTCAGAGGATGTTATGTGCAAGGACAGGCCCACAGTATTTTCAGCATCCGAGCCGAAAGCACTAGCAGGAAAATTGTACATTGTCACCACCTGCCGAACTTAT